GGATCTCATCCATCACCGCCCGCATCTCGTCAAGCACCGCTCAGATCTTCTCAAGCACCGAGCAACCGTCCAAGATGTTCTGGAAGCTCCGCACAGGAGCACGATGCACGTGAAAATTTTCAGAACACTCCGCACGGGAGCGCGATTTTCGTATAAATTTTCAAGATGCTCCGCACGGGAGCGCGATTTTGTTCAAAATTTTCAGGACGCTCCGCACGGGAGCACGATTTTCATTTTCATCAAAATTTTCAAGACGCTCCGCACGGGAGCGCGATTCTTCTCAAAATTTTCAAGACGCTCCGCACGGGAGCGCGATTTTTCTCAAGATTTTCACGACGCTCCACACGGGAGCGCGGCTTTGATCAAAAGAGAACGATCTTGAGCGGATCAGTTTGGTATAGAATTGGTATAGAAATCGTTCACAAAACGATCAAAATCCGAACGACGAATCTGGCGAATCCTATACCAATCCTATACCGAAACATCCCCCCAAGAACATCCTCCTTGATAAGATAAATCGACAAAATTTCGAAGACGTCTCGAGCGGGAGCGCGATTTCTGAAAATCATATTATCAAAATTGTTAGGACGTTCCGCACGGGAGCACGGATTTGATCAAAAGAGAACGATAAATTTCGAGGACGTCTCGAGCGGGAGCGCGATTTTTGAAGATCGATTCATCAAAATTTTCAAGCGCTCCGCACGGGAGCGAGTTGGTCAAAAGAGAACGATCTTGAGCGAATCAGTTTGGTATAGAATTGGTATAGAAATCGTTCCTTAAACAATCAAAACTCGAACAACGAATCCAACGAATCCTATACCAATCCTATACCAAAATGACCCCCCAAGAACCTCCCTCCTGATAAGATAAATCGACAAAATTTCGAGGACGTCTCGAGCGGGAGTGCGATTTTTGAAGCTAAATCATCAAAATTTTGAGGACGCCCCGTGCGGGAGCGCAATTTTGATTGATTTAAACGAAGATAAAATCAATATAAAATCAACGAAATTTTGAGGACGTCTCGAGCGAGAGCGCGATTTTTGAAGGTAGCTTCAAGATCAACAATGATCAGAGGCTGAAAAAGAGCCGATTCTCCGACGATTTTGCTCAATTTTTGATTTCTTATAACGTCATTTTTTTTAAGGCACACACACACACACGATTTTTTGAGGATGTCTCGAGCGAGAGCGCGATTTTTGATGATTTAAGTTAACATCGGGGGGTCGTCCAGTTCATTTCGAGACCCCCCTAGCAAGACTAAAGTAAAGGCAATCTGGCCTCTCAGACGCAACATCGTAACATTCATCGTTTTGAGGACGTCTCGAGCGAGAGCGCGATTTTTAAGTAAACATCAGTGCGTCCAAAATGTTTGCGCGACGGAAGAGCACGCTGCGGGGCGAGTGCCGGGCGACGACACATCTAAATAATTAGAACCCCACACTAGCGTGGGGAATAAAAATCCATTGATGAGGTTCAATCCTCAGATGCAAGCCCAAAGAACGACCAAGCTTGAGCATGCAGTGTAAGAATGCCCCAGCACTCCCTACCATGTTCAGGCATAACCAGCGACATGTCAACTGGCTCCTGATCTAAGAGACTGGCCCGCTCCGTCAAAGCGTCCCGCAAGGAGATGGCCAAGGCCTACATGAAACTGCCGGATCTTCAATAGTCAAGTGTTGGGTCTAACTCCAACAAGATGTTGAAGATTAAAGCACCAAGGCATGCTCGACACAGCGTCCAATGTGCTTGGGCTACATCAAATGAAGTGACAGAAAACAACACCATTGGCATCGAATTGGTAAACGACATCTTGCACAACACCTGATAGCTGCATCATCAAATACTTGACAAATCCAAACGTTGCACTTTTTGCTTGTGATTTTGTTGTGAACTGCCGAAGGGAACCACTTATGCTTTGTGAAGCTGCAGCACGTCCAAGGTGGTTGAGGGAATGCCTGGTCCTTGATGCCGCCAGTATGTCTGGCAAAGGACCCTGCGTAGCCTTCGAAGTGCTTCCTTCGGGCTGTCATCTGGAAAGGATTGAAATCAACTCGATGGCTTAGGTCATGGGCTGGTAGCCGCGGATTGTGTTTATTTGGAGGTCTGAGAGCCCCGCACTTCAAGTATGCTGATTATTGAGGGTTGTCCATCGGCTTTCTGGATTCTTGGTTTCGCGATGCTTGAGCAAAAGCAGACGCTGATAGCTTGCCTGGCTTGCCTCAGTTAAGTCTCAATTCAGGACAAGCCTGGCTGCAGGAAGTGTAGACTGAGGTCCAGTCAAAGGTGGCGGCGGGGCCATCAAGGATGGAAAAGACTTGAAGTACTCATTCATGACCTGTGACTCTTTCACTTGTTGGCTGGAAAAGGCACGGGCAAGCGGGACACCAGCAATCCAATTTATATGAAGGCGACCGATCACGTGTGCTTCATGTAATGTCAAAAGCTTGGGGCAATTTGCATGGCAAAGAAGACCTGTTCCATCCTATTCTTAATTCCTAAGTCCTGGGCATGGCCTAATTCCTTGTAGCTCTGCACAAGCCCGGACAGCCAGCTAGCCAAGCATAATCACAGACGCATTTGCTTTGCCGTTCTCGGCATGTAGTCAGGTCAGTGTGTCCCGTACCAGTGACTGTTGATCATGTCAGGGCCCCTGCCGTCTGTTCCAGGAAAAGCTCTGTACGGAAACGCCTCAAGAATTCAAGGCTTTATAGCTGTGCAAAGCAACAAGCCGCTTTCAGGAATTGGGGCAACCCAAGGATGACAAACGCCTTCCCATGCTAAATCTTCCCTGAGGAAGGGAACACGTGTGGTCCGCACTCCTCTGAGAAACTGCGGTTGCACGACTGGTGTCACCTCTTTTCCAAATCGCTGGTTTGCAATCCTGAACGACTTCAAGACCTCCGATGGCAAGCCCCGGGACTGCTCTTCTATTGCTGCCTGACTGGCACGCTCCCTTAACAAAAACAATGGGTTTCTCAGCTGCTTCATCTTATGAACAGGAGTGGAGTCTTCTTACAGCTCAGGGCCTGCCTTTGTACTTCTCGTCTGATTCCTTTTCATCAACGTCTGTCAGTACACTACAATTGAAATTTCCAACAAACTCACTAGAAACTCAACCAAGAGAACAGCCACCTGCTAAACAAAGCGCAAGAACCCCTCTCACGTAAAGACTTGAGGCTAACCCGGAGGTCCACGGTGAAACGAACCGGCACGCAGTTTTTCTGCGGGCAGTAGCTCCCTGTCTGCCGAATTCCTAGAGGCTTTTAATGGCAGTGCATCAAATGTTGCTTTAGATGTTGCCAAATGCCCAAGGCAAATCGCGTGAACTCTTAATACTCAAGACCACGAACAGAATAAGAATAGACTTCGCGGAGCTTTCCATACCCACAAGTCAAAACCCGCTCTAAGACTTGATAAGGCATGTTGAACTTCCACATACCAGTTGGAATGGCAGACAAGCAGTCTTTTCGCGAGCAAGCGGTCTGACTCTGGAGAAACACTAAGCCCTACCTTGCGTCTCATGCAGGCGGCGCATCTCACAATCCAAAGCCAATGGCTGGGCCGAATTAGCTGGGTCTAGGCGCCTTGTGGCTGCAGGAATCATTTGTTTAGGACAGCATCATGTCACGCATTGCCCCGTGCTTACATGCTGCCCATTACTTGTACCTGTTGACACTTTGCGCTTACCCCTAGAGCAGGTCCTACCGGATGAGCACATAGTGCAATCTCAAAGCTGCTCACTGCCAGAGGTAACGCTTCTTCTTTGACAAGGGCGGAAGTGTCGTCACGGTTGGCTGAGCCTCAGAAATTAAGATGTGCAAACCAAGTCCAAGCCTCTGCCGCCAGAACCACAGGTACACTTTATTGTGCACTTAATTAATGCCATGCCCTCAGAAGTCACATTCATCTTTGGTGAGAGGTAATCAGGACGGCAGTAGAGTTCGAGGGATATCCAACGACGTACAGTCGCGCAATCAGTGGGTACAAGTACGTGCCTCAATCAAGTGTATCTGTCCGCCATACAGTCTTGGACTTCTCACGCATACCTTCCGTACGGCACTGAGGGACTTGCCTGCTTCGAGCCATGTCTTCGAGGCGTCAGCTGCTTCCTGGTAGAAAGCTCCACACACACACACTCTATCAATCACTATCCAAGCTCTCAGCTTCTCAATCTAAAGACTGGAGGGAAATCGTTCATTGGCATCAAGTGATAAGCAAGCAAAGGTTGCTCGAGTGTTTCTTTCCTTCGGGCAGGTGTAGCTAGCCATCGTTCTGGCGTTTGGATCAGCAATAGTATCTTGTCCCGGCCTGTCTGGAAACTGGCTGTAGCAGGTGCTCAGTGCTTGCCCTTTCCTGAGCACATTGCTGCAGCAATTAAAAGTACGGTTTCCAGCAACACACCGGGTTTCCCCAGGAAGTTGATATCCGATGGCTGATACCTTATGGTGCATGTCGACATCAAACAGTCATGGCCTAGTCAGACCGACTGGCCTTTCATGATTTGTTTGTTCTGCACACACTTGCTGTTGCACCCCACTTGCAACCTGCAGTGCTTGACCTCACCTTTGCAAATAATCAGCAAACACATTAACATTTTGTCGTTCGCTTAGCTCTGGGGACTCTGCATTGATGTACCACGCGTAAACCGCGGCGTTGTAGCTCGGGCTGGATCTGCCCGGGAGCACGTTTCAGGATTTCAGGAATTCACACATCCAGTTTCGACCCACATCCACTCAAGCCAACAGCTTGGGTTGGATGTTTGCTCAAACTGTCCATCCTGCCGGAACTGCACCGATTAAGATGTTTAAGAAAGGTCTTTGAAATTGGGATGCTCCAACTTCGAACTGGTCACGTGGAAAGGATCTTCAGGTGCCGTGACCATGGTTCACGTGTAGTGTAGTGTGCTGAAGATCGAAGCCTTCTTCTGCAGTTTCAAACCTGGACTGCCAGGCAATGCTGGCAGAACCAGTCTGCGAAACAAATACACAACTAAGTTTTTGCGCTTAAGTGATCCACCCCATACTGAATACCGCACCCACTCTCAGTCGTCTGGAGACATCTGGCGGTCCATCTGTCGTAGTCTGCAAAATTGTGGCTTGACTGATCTAAAAACGGCAAATCCAGGTGGAGGTGGCCTACATCCGCTAAAACGAAGTCCACAAGGTTGTCGCGCTTTTGCAGCGGGCGGCGCTCGATCGGCGGCACCTCTTCGCAATGGAAAGTTTGATTCGCTGCATGTATCCTGCCGGAAGCATTTATGCTATGCCCTATGCTGGAGAACGAACCCTCATGCTAAGATCTGCAAGCAAACCATGTTTTTGCACCTTCCGAAGCCAAACGCAGGCTGCCTTTTCCGCAAGCACAAATTCAATTGGGCCTCGCCTTCGGCCTGCTGTTAGAGCGAGGCATCCGCACACGTCCCTGCTCCAAATCCCGAGACCTGGCTTCTGCAATGAAACAAACAGCTGAAAAAAGTTGAAAGCACAGTGCATAAACTGTCCGTCGCATCTTCCTTTGTGATCAAGGCATAGCTTCTGATTTCCAAGAAAGAAAACTGTGCTGCACGGGATCCCAGAAACATGGAATCGAGCTTCCTCCGGTTCAGGCCTGCAGAAGCAGTTGCAATGTAATATTGATGCACATAAGTGTGTGTAATCTCAGCATGTGTCTCAATAAGTGTCTTGTTGCATTAATCATCTACATACATATACATGTATGCATAAGCTTGGGGATAGCGAATTGGTGGATTCCGTAGTCAGAGACGCTGGCAGGGTTGACTATTCGAGGATAGAGTCTTGTGGCCATCTTTGGCATGCAAATCGTCATTGTCTCCTGGGAGATACTCACTTCACGCCATCCTTGTAATGAGGTTGCCCTGCACGAAAAGGAGCAACGACAATGTGTTACTCAGCTGACGGGCATTGCGTGATAGCTGCAATTCAAAAGCTCACATGTTTCAAATCCCAACGCTGCAACCTTCAATGGGTTGGGCGCTGAAGCTTAAGAGTACATCACACATGAAGCTGTCACTTCCAGGCCTGGAATTATGTACCTTAGCTGATCTTGAGCAACTTCGCATGGTTGGATTGCAGATCTTCACTTCTAGAACCTAGCACTTCTAGGGAGTAAAGAACCTGATGAACCCGACCCAGGTACATGTGGCTCGTTCCGGGAGACTCGAGGCTGGAATTCTTGCAGTCCTCACTGGTCCTGCTGGAGGCATGGGGCTTCACGCTTTGAGTTGGCAGGCGAAGTGATTCATACGTGATGGATCCTGACCATTCAGACCATACTCACTGTGACGTTGCTGTGATCCAACTCAGAAGTCTTTCCAAGAAATCGGTACTAAATGGATGAACACAAAAGACATGTCAACCTAAATCTAATCTAAATCTAACCAACAAGGCCATAAACTTGACAAAGCAAGAAATTTCATTTCCGGGAGCTTTCAGCTGCCAGGCCTGGCTTGAAGCTGTGGAGCCATGAAGGCTGAAGCCAAGTGGCTCGCCTGCTGATATGAAAAAATGGCTGTCTTCGTTTCCCTGTGGACTCTTGAATATTGGAAAAATGGAGTATATAGGGTTTAGGGTCAGGGTAATATAGGGATAATGGGTAATAAAATGGAAAAGAACATGGAAAATGAAATGGAAACTGGGGTTATATAGGGGCAGATATTGAGGTTATGTTTTGATGAAGCTCAAGCGTAAGGCGTAACCTATTGGCTTCATTACCTTGTCTGGGAGCAGCATGGTCACGTCTAAGATTTGATAAGCGCGGTCCCTAGCCCGACTCTTAAGCATTAGGACCTCCCTCATTTCCTGGAATTTGTGGGATTTTGGATGGTGTCTGTAAAGGAGTTTATATAAACCTGAATGCAATGTTAGTTGGTTTTATTGCAATTTTAAGTAGCTGTCAATGAGATTCTAATGAGGTTTTAATTCGATTTCAACTGATTTTAACCGGGTCCGAACAAGAACTCGATTAGAGTTTTACATCGGTTTTCACTGGCTTGATTTTGATTGAAACTTGATTTCAAATAGTTTTACGTAGACTTTAATTGGATTTGAGTTGCTTTTTGATTCGTATATACTGATTTTATTATGATTTTAACTGGACCATATTTTTCATCGATTTGTTCGATTTTAATTGAGATTTCGATAAGACCCTTTTATACACCCGCTCCCCCCACAATATTCCGGCCCCACGATAAATGCACCCCTCCTCCTTCATACAAAATACGGGTCGGAGTATATACATTAGGGGGGTGGGGGCGACGTTTAATATTAGGGGGCAAGGACTACTAACGGGCTGCAGTGTTATTCCAGATCTGATCTGCAAGCGGCCCCTTCCTGGTGCCTTCAGGCCTGGCTTGGGCAGCATGACAAACTCTCAGCCACAGAGAAAGCTACCGACGCGGACATCAATGTTTGAAGTTTAGAACCAATGTGGCATGTGGAATCCCACCGTTGCCTCCGGGCCTGACGCTGGGGTCGGATAGGGGCTGGGTTCCCTGGTTGCTGCAGCCAGCGATATCCTTAAGGCTGCGCACTCAGCTCAGTGTGATGCATGCTCTGCGCTGACAACGCTAGGGTCCCGACTGGGGTGCTGCTCCATTCGCGACTCGTGTCAGGGCCGTGCCCAACCAGTCGGTGGCTGACTTGCAGAACAAGCGGCTCACTCGACTAACA